TCAATCTTTCATCACCTAAAAACCTAGATGTATGTATATATATATGCATGTGCGTGTCTGTGAAGTGTGACCAAAGTGTAAGTAGGAGTAGCAAGATATCCCTGTTATCTAGCGTGTTTATGAGACAGAAAAAGAAACCAGCAATCCTACCATCATGCAAAACAGTTACAGGTTTCTGTTTCACAGTCATCTGGCAGGACGGTAGTACTTCCCTGGGTGGTTGCTGTCTTCCAACCTACTACCTATCCAGGTAGATATTTTCTGTAATTCGGTATTTACAGTATTGGCTAGCGTGACTGGGCTCGGGTGAGAGAAGACGTATGTAGTATCATCTGCAAATAGTGTGGGTTTGAGTAGTTGCGATGCATTTGGTAGGTCATTTATGTATATGAGAAAGAGAAGAGGGCCTAGGACACTTCCCTGTGGGACACCAACTGTGATTGGCTGTGCTGAAGAGTTTGCCCCATTTGTGTACACATATTGGCTTCTGTTGCTGAGGTAAGACTTTAGGTAGTTGAGGGAGTGCCCTCTTATGCCATAGTGCGATAATTTTATATGGAGCAAGTCATGGTCAACTGTATCAAAAGCTTTACGTAAGTCTATGAAGATCCCCAGTGGGACTTTTTTTTCTCTATTGCAGTGTATATGTGTTCTAGCATGTGTATAATAGCATCATTAGTATTTTTATTAGGCCTGAATCCAAATTGACAGGGGAGAGGAGGTAGGAATAGATTTGCTTATGAATTAATTTTTCAAAGATTTTAGAGAGAGGGTGTAAGTTGGATATTTTTAGCCCTTCTTATCAGGCTGGTTAGGATTGACGAGTAATGTTTTGTTTGGTCTCTGGTTATGTGACCCATTCTGTACTGTTTTTCGTATAGGTGCTTTGTATTTATGGATTTGAGGATGCTGGGTGTTAGCCAGGGACTGTTCAGTCTCTTAGCTGTCATCTGTTTAGTTTTTTGGGGGCAGTGCTTGTTATAGAGGTATTGGGTCTTTTTTAGAAAATTATTAATACATTCGTCAATATCTGTATAGATTTCTAGCTCAGTGTGCCAGTCAAAGTTTGTCACTGCTGCTGTGAAGTAATTAATAGCTGCCTCATTGTGAAGTCTGAAAGTGACTTTAGTAGTGTCTTGGGGTAATTTGCCAAGGTTTGTGATGAGGGAGGGAGGGTAGTGATCTGTGGTATTATCTGTGATTATGCCTGATTTTAACCCCTTGACTGTCGCAACCCCCAATCCTGAGGTGTCTCCTGGTGTCGCAAAATTTCAAAAAAAAAAAAAAAAAAAATTTCTTATGAAATGATAGAGAATCTTTTTCCGATTGTAATGACACCAAAAAAACGAAATTTGATGGAAAACTGACGGAATTATGCTCTCGCGAAGTTAGCGACCTCAGCAATATTTACAAATCGGCGATTTCGCCCACTTTGAGCCCTATTTTCGGCTAATTCGGTTGTTCCTGTCGACCAAACTCATAGCTATTTCTTTAGAACTCCATTTTTTCTATCGATTGAGTACAAGAAACTGCCCATTTACCGATTTCAACTACCCAATAATGTGGTCAGAAATTTGCAATTTGGCCAATTTCACAAAAATTAAAAAATATGACAATTTCAAAATAAGGTCCAGAATGAACAATGCAGACATTCCTGGGCTCTAAAATAACATATTCTTTGTTTCATCAGTCATGTCTCCAGGCCCCTCTGATATTACTCTTGCTTTCTATTTTGAATTTTTATTCAAACAAAAAATAGAAGACTTACTATTATGCAGACTACTGTAATACTGTAAATAATTGTATAAATAACATCAACCCATTCATGACTGCATATTAGAATGGCTAGTTGGACATTTATTGGACAATGACATCATTTGTTTACTTTTGAACATTGGCAAAAATCAAACATTTCCCCTACTTTGAGCTCCATTTCCAGGTTCTTTTTATAGTAAAATCAATCAAAATCACCTCTATTTCTATAATACGTTTTCCATTCTATTAAATGAGTCCAAGAAAACGAGAATACAACCATAAATACTATACGAAAATAGACCACAAAGTCAGCATTTTAATTAAAAAAAACGGTCGGAGTTTTTTTTTTCTCATTATGCACTGCGTGCCCAGGATTTTTTATATGGTGCACACTGACCACACAGACCCATTCTCTCACATGTGGGCCTACCAGCTTTCTCCTCCTTGATTTGAAGCCACTAGAATTTATGAGTATATATACGTCAAACGCGGTACCTCGTAAGACGTATATACAGTTGGACCCCCCGGTTAACGATTTTAATCCGTGCAAGAGGGCTCATCGTTATGCGAAATAAAACGTTATGCGAATGAATTTTCCCATAAGAAATAATGGAAATAAAATTAATCCGTGCAAGACGCCCAAAAGTATGAAAAAAATTTTTTTTTAAACCCCATGAAATGTTAATTTTAATACACACAAACTGAAAAAGGCATGCACAATTACATGACACTTACTTTTATTGAAGATCTGGTGATGATTGATGGGATTTGGGAGGAGGGGAGAGCATTATCTTCTTACTGTTTAGAAGGGGAATCCCCTTCCATTAGGACTTGAGGTAGCAAGTCCTTTTCTGGGGTTACTTCCCTTCTTCTTTTAATGCCACTAGGACCAGCTTGAGAGTCACTGGACCTCTGTCGCACAACAAATCTGTCCATAGAGCTCTGTACCTCCCGTTCCTTCAAGACTTTCCTAAAATGGGCCATAACATTGTCATTGAAATAGTCACAAGCACGGCTTGCAACAGCTGTGTCAGGGTGATTTTCATCTATAAAGGTTTGCAGTTCAACCCACTCTGCACACATTTCCTTAATCTTTGAAGTAGGCACAATGGATTCCACAACTGGCATAGGCTTCTCAGGGTTAGCCCCAAACCCTTCAAAATCTTTCTTAATTTCCATACTAATTCTCACCCTTTTTACCACAGGGTTGGCACTAGAAGCTTTCTTGGGGCCCATGGTCACTTATTTTCCAGAAACAGCACCGAAAATACTGTAATAATACGAAATATTCCGAGTGTATGCTTGGATGTTACCGCGGAGGCTGGCTGGTAAACAATGGGACGGGCGGCACATGTGAGGCTGGCTGAGGGCACATTGGACGCGTCTCGGACGAAAATCGGTATGCGGGTTTTTAATCGGTATGCGCGGCAAAAATTTTGCGATAAAAGTAATCGTTATGCGGAAAAATCGCTATGCGATGCCATCGTTATGCGGGGGTCCACTATGGCCGCGACAGTCAAAGGGTTAAAGGGGATATGGTGTTGGTCCAGATGTGGTCTAGTAGGGAAACACTAGTCTCTGTAACTCTTGTAGGTTTTGTTACTGCTGGTAGCAACATGCAGTTACTCATAGTGTTTGTGAATTCAGTAACGTGTGGGTCCTGGTCTTGCAGGAGATTTACACTGAAGTCACCTGAGAGTAGCAAATGATCTTTGTTCATGCGTGCATCAGTTATCATACTTCCTAGGTTGTCACTAAAATGGCTAATGTTTGACTGTGATGCTCTGTAGATGTTTATCACTGTGAGAGGTTTTTGTAGGTATTTGGATTTGAATTTAGCTATTATATATTCTCCATGTTCATCCCTTGTGCAAGTATTAGTGATACATTCTAGTTGGTCTGAGTAGTATATAGCTGTGCCACCCCCTTGTTGATCTGGCCTACAGTTGTGTATGGTTGTGTAACCAGGAATGGCATAGACATCTGTAGTATCAGGCTTTAGCCAGGTTTCGGTGAGAGTAATAATGGATATACGTACTGGCATGCAGGGAATTTAGTAATGCTATGAGGTCATCGTAATGTTACTTAAAGATCTGATATTGTAGTTAAAGACAGTTATGTTTTTGTTGGCTCTGAGAAGTGCCTTTGATTGTTCAGCTGTGTAGTAATTACAGTTATTGTTTGATTCATTTAGGTCATTCAATAAGAGGTTGGTATCAGGATCAATGCTTGTTATCATAAGATTTATAGTGAATTGCAGCAAAGAAAAGATTGGAAGCAGTGGAAAATTATGTCGGAGATCGATGTGTGGTATGAATATTACATAAAAAATAAGAAGCATAGTAATTAGAAGGCAAAAAGTGGAGATTACTTGGTCAATTATTATTACAGTAGGGCCTCACTTATATGGGAGGTTAGGTTCCAAGCTACCGCTGGAAAGCGGACATCACTGAAAAGCAGAATGCAATTTTTTCCACTTATAAATGCATAAAAATGCCAGATAAATAGTTTACACTAACATATTAAGTTAGCAATAGAACTAGATATTAAAAACAATAAAAAGTAAAATACACAGACAGTACACTCTTACCTTAAAATATTTGTAGTCTTAATGTAGGGTGAGAGGTAAGTAGCATTTATTATAAGAAGTCAAGGTGTGTAGGAGAGAGGGAGATTATTTCCGGTAAAAGTAGGTCTTAGACAGGGATGTGTAATGTCACCATGGTTGTTTAATATATTTATAGATAGGTTGTAAAAGAAGTAAATGCTAGGGTGATGGGGAGAGGTAGGATTAAATTATGGGGAATCAAATATAAAATGGGAGTTGACCCAGTTACGTTTTGTTGATGATACTGTGTTTTTGGGAGATTCTAAAGAAAAGTTACAAAGGTCAGTGGACAAGCTTGTAAGGGTGTGTAAAGGTAGAAAGTTGAAAGTGAACAAAGATAAGAGTAAGGGATGAGAGTATCAAATGATTTAAATAAGAAAAATTGGATATCACATTGGAGCGAGAGAGTATGGAAGAAGTGAATGTTTTCAGATATTTGGGGGTTTGACTTGTCAGCAGATGGATTTATGGAGGATGAGGTTAACCATAAATTCTAAATCTCTATACGTATTAGGAAAACTAATGGTTTGACATTGTGGCAACATTGCCTTTTCAAAGGTGTTGAATTACAATATAAAACTGATATTCTTTTAGCAATCTGAAAAAAAAGAATAATCATGCATTGGTATTAACTCACCAAGAGTTTTCCTTGCTTCCATCTAGGAAATAGATGTCTTATTCTTTGAACTGGCAATTTTCTGGCATCTATTTTGCTGCTGAATGCTTGAATAAAGAGGCCATAGTATGAAGAACAATATACTAAAGAGCCCAACATGTGCGTGACACCATACATGAAGACTGCTTGCACGGGCCAGAATACACACAGACTGTCAGAAGAATGGAGCGCAGTACTTGCATTAATCCCTCAATCATAACCTGAAATGACAGTCATGTTAAGGAAGAATAACTTGCATTTCTTAAGAGCTAAAGAAAGATTTACGAATCTAATTTAAAAAAAAAACTGAATAAAGTTATACAGTGACTGTGGATTTAACATTTCTTGCCAAAAAAAAACATTTTTATTTACAAAATGTTTTATCTGCAAACAGTTTTAAGCGACAACCTGATGAATATTAGAAAACAGTGAAACCTTATTGATAACTATCAAATGACATTACTTATTTATGAATATGCAAGTGATTTGCAAATTAAGACTTACAAATGAAGATGCAAATTATAAATATGCAGACAGCTGCACAGTGCTCCCAACGATAAAAATTAACAATCAAAATTTCTGAGGTAAGAAACCTCTTCACATGGCCCGCCCAACAAGACTGTATTTTATGAAAATCCCTAACCTTGTAGTGATGAAATCTGGCAACAACTGGACAGTCATCATTAAACCAACTAAGAAGTAATTAGGGCGAGTTGCATCAGTGCAGCAAATGTTCTTTACTGCATGCATGATGCTTTCTTAAATTTACAATATATGTACTATAACATATATTGAATAGTGGCAAGTGGTGTTTATGACCTGACATGTTGCTGGAGTGTGAGCAAGGTAACACATATGAAGGGATTCAGGGAAACTGGTTAGTCAGATTTAGAGTCCTGGAGGTGGGAAGTGCAGTGCCTGCACTCTGGAGAAGGGGTGGGGATATTTACAGTTTGAACTGTAGTATTGTTGCACCTCTGGCAAGACAGTGATGGAATGAGTGATGGTGAAAGTGTTTCCTCTTTTTTAGGATATCCTGCCTCAGAGGGAGATTGCCAGTGTTTTGAAAAAAACACAATAATAATAATAGGATGGTACTACCGTCCTACCAAATGAGTGTGAAACATAAGCCTGTAATTGTGTTACACAATGGTAGGATTACTGGGATTTTTCTGTCTCATAAACACAAGAAAACAGGTACATCTTGCTACTTCTACTTCTCTTAGTTTACAAAGATATGTACATGCATGTGTATACACATCCATCTGAATTTTCTTCTATTTTCTAAATAGTTGTTCTTATTTAAGGCTTTTCATATCCATGGGGAAAATGAAAAAGAATTATCTGTTAGCCATATGTATTGTAAGAAGCGACTAAAATGCCAGGAGCAAGGGGCTAGTGACCCCTTTTCCTGTAATATATATTACTAAATATAAAAAAAAAAAAGAAAGGGATTCAGGGGAACCAGTTAGCTGGATCTGAGTCCTGGAGGTAGGAAGTACAGTGCCTGTCCTCTGAAGGAGGGGTGGAGGTGGGAAGAGCAGTGCCTGTACTCTCAAGGAGAAGTGGAGGTGGGAAGAACAGTGCCTGTACTCTAAAGGAGAAGTGGAGGTGGGAAGTAGTGTCTGTACTCTGAAGGGGTGGAGGTGGGAAGAACAGTGCCTGTACTCTGAAGAAGAAGTGGTGGGAAGTACCCTGTACTCTGAACTGTAGTATCAGCATGCCTCTGGCAAGTGCATTTCCAAATTATGGAACTGGTGAGGGCTTGAAGCCACAGCACATGAGTGCTAAACCTCACAGGCCAGTGTGCTAACCACTGAAGTATAGAAATATACCTAGTTGGATGAATCTTATTAGAGCCAGCTGACTGAGTGAACACACTGACCTGTTAGTTTTAGAACTCACCATGGGTTCAGACCCCACCCATTCCCTGATTTGTTTACAATCATGTTATTGTAAGCTCGTTAGTCATGATTTGCAGTTCCACATAACGTGTAAATTTTTGAGCAGCTCGTTAAGAAAACTTGGGTATTAATTTCTTACAGCAACAGTTGGTAAATAATGTGTGGATGATAATACTGGCTTTCCAAATTCCCCAAAAATAATCTTATACGTATATCTGATAACTAGAGAATATTCCCTGTCATTTTATAAATGTTTCATCTACCACTACAGCCCACAGTTTTCTTTGCATATTAGTTATCTATGACATAAACCTTAAATCAGTTTTTTCAATGAACATAATTAGATAACATATTGAATAGTGATAAGTTTTTCAAGGCTGTCCACATAGGAAGGGAATACAGTGTGATCTGGAATCCTCAACTCCAGTTCTATTCTAAGCTAAAAGTACAGCTGTAACTTACTTAATAAAACATACTCTGTATATTTTCAAAATCTCACCTTAGTTTTGCTCCAGAGTTGTAGTTCTGCCAAAACAAATGGTACCTCAGCTGCTACCTCTAGAAAAACACTTAAAGCCATGAAGACTACACCAGCATCATAATCTGTGGTCACAGCCTCTGGTGGTCTCTCCATCACGTGTGACCATACATACCAGCCTGCACCACACACAGGGACTGACACTAATACTCTAAAATAAAAATGTATATTTACTTTACATTGGCTAACTTCTATGCTTTAAGACAACAAATGAAACAAATATTAAATTTAAACTTATATTTAGTCAATGTTTGAGTGGTGTGAATATAATGCAGAAAATTCATAGCTTGGAGATTAGAAGTTGTGGGATTTCTAAAAGTATTATCCAGAGAACTCAGAAGGGGTTGATGAGGCGGTTCAGACATTTAGAGAGGACGGAACAAAATAAAATGACTTGGAGGGCATATAAATCTGTAGTGGAAGGAAGGTAAGGTAGGGGTCATCCTAGGAAAGGTTGGAGGGATGTGGTAAAGGAGGCTTTGTATGCAAGGGGCTTGGACTTCCAGCAACCATGTGTGAGCATGTTAGATAGGAATGAGTAGAGACAAATGGTTTTTATGACATGATGTGCTGTTGGAGTGTGAGTAAAGTAACATTTATGAAGGGTTTCAGGGAAACCGGTTAGCTGGACTTAAGTCCTGGAGATGGAAGCTGTTGATATGCTGGAGGGCTGTTGATATGCTGCAGTTTTTTATTTGTAATGTAGACACACCTCTTTCAAGACAGTGATGGAGTGAATGATGATGAGTGTTTCTTCTTTTTCAGGTCACCCTGCCCTGGTGAGAAATAGCCAATGTGTTAAAAATAAAAAATTAAATGTGACTCCTCGATGTTCACTTTTCAAATATAGACAGACTTGGATTTAAGAACAGGTTGCATTACACAAATTTGCAGTGAACAAAATCATGTTTTTTTTCCAGTGTCAGCATTTTTTGTTTTAACCACAACAGACCTTTCCTGCCAAGGTAGGGTAACACAAAAAAGAAAAAATATTTCCCATCATTTATTCAACATGTCGTAAAAAGTACATGGACATAATTTAAAAGCAAAAACAATTACTGTATATAAACTGACACCAATTACAAAATATAAATTAAGATATATTGGCAAAATATTTTAGCCATAAAAATAGACTAAAAAGTATAATTTGAAAAAATATAAAACTACCAGAATATGTATAAAAGTGGTTAAATACTGTATAATGAACTACTGTATATTAAGTTGGATACACTATGTACAATACTGAAAGAACTGTAAATAAGCCAGTTGTCAGCTACTGCAACTACCTACATGGGTCATTTATTAACCAAAGGACATCAGCTTGCTCCTCCCGAGTTGGCATGGGTGACCTTGGACTGTTCTCACTTCTTCCTTTCTCATGATGGAATCTAGTTAATATTCTGGGAAGACCCTCGTTTCTTTACTAAAATTATCTTCTCCTCTCATCATTCATTAGATAACTTATTCTGCTATTGTCACTGCAGACCTTCTTAGGGATGGTATAAAGTGGGTCCCTAATACTCTTCCATGCTTCTCCTCTCGTATCTCCAGTGTGAGGAAGTGTGGAAAATCGTGTCTCATCCTGGTTCTCAGGAATACAAACCATCACATATCTTTGATTCTCACTGCTTCAGCCTGTCTGGGCTACCATATCTGTCAGGTCTTTTAACCATGGGTCTTATTTATCCTTGAATACTTTAAATCCTTTTATTGGCTCAAATTTTGCCCAAAATGCTAAGCATGTGGCTTTTACAGAAATATACCTTTTATACATCTATTTACCACACTTATGTAATACACTTTTGGTTATAATACTTTTATAAATAAAGATTTGTATTTGATGTTTTTAAGGAGATGTTACTTATAGTTGCCTGCCATGTGTTACTGAGGTAAGACATAACAAAAGGTATGGCTTCTGAGCCAGCCTGTTCTAGTTTAAAACTGTTGTTTTCTACAGTATCAAGTGATTTTTTTTTGTATGTCCATAAGGAGGCCTAGTGGATATGCATTTTTTTCAAGCGATCTGTAAATTGTGCAACTTTTTATTAGGGCACTGTTATATTATTTCTTGGTCGGAAACCAGACTGACATGGAATAAAGTTATTTTTTTATGTAGGAGTATGTTTGCTTTTGTACTATTTTTACAAGATATTTTTAACAGTACTAGAGGGTTAGAAAATGTTTAATAAGTTACACTATCACAAAACTTGAAATAGTTGTTGTGGTGTCACAGAAACTAAAACAAAACAATCATCACTAACATTTGATGTTATGTCAAAACATTTTATTGCCACAAAATTATTTTTAAATATTTGCATCTTTAAATCCATTACTGCTTAGTGTTCAATGTTGTTCCCAAGAATGCATAACAATGGCAATTTTTCATGCATATTTCATTGCAGTGTGTTGGAAAATAAGGTATATCAAACAACAGATTTAAATAATAAAAGATTTATTACTTACCCAATCCAAACCAGATTGATAACCTTGCTGATATCCCCAGATCCTTTAGAGCTTAATGCTGCCCGCCTGAAGGCCTCACGTGACAGCAGAAGTCCCATGGAATACAACAAGTGAAGCCGAACAGTCATTACAGCAAACACTTCTTGACTGACGTGACGCACGATAAAAGCATTCAGGATGAAAGACAAGATCCGCAGTCCAACCTTCCAGGGATGTATATAATATACTACATTAGGGCATTGCTGGAATGAATTTAACACCTCATTTATGATACATTCAGAATTTTGTTGATTAAATAAAGTAAAACTTTATATACACATGAGATGGACTATTGTCACACCTTGTGTCATTATGTACTGGAGTGCGGTAAAATTAATTCAGAGACAACTCAGAAATGTTCAAGATATGGCAAAGTATTTTATCCACAATGGTATATTACAAGCCATTCTGGTAAAATACCCTGACTTTGCTCACTGTAAATAAAGCTAATATTTGCATTAATAACTCACTGCAGCTCTGATCGGGTGTGAATGGTTCACTGACTTAGTAACTTGTTCAGCTATCAAAACTCTGTGGCCCAGTCCCTGGATCCATTATGTACCTCTGTAATGTTGAGGCACAGTCCCTGGACCCATTGTGTACCTCTGTAATGTTGAGGCACAGTCCCTGGACCCATTACGTACCTCTGTAATGTTGAGGCACAGTCCCTGGATCCATTATGTACCTCTGTAATGTTGAGGCACAGTCCCTGGATCCATTATGTACCTCTGTAATGTTGAGGCACAGTCCCTGGACCCATTGTGTACCTCTGTAATGTTGAGGCACAGTCCCTGAACCCATTATGTACCTCTGTAATGTTGAGGCACAGTCCCTGGACCCATTGTGTACCTCTGTAATGTTGAGGCACAGTCCCTGAACCCATTATGTACCTCTGTAATGTTGAGGCACAGTCCCTGGACCCATTGTGTACCTCTGTAATGTTGAGGCACAGTCCCTGGACCCATTATGTACCTCTGTAATGTTGAGGCACAGTCCCTGGATCCATTATGTACCTCTGTAATGTTGAGGCACAGTCCCTGGACCCATTGTGTACCTCTGTAATGTTGAGGCACAGTCCCTGGACCCATTGTGTACCTCTGTAATGTTGAGGCACAGTCCCTGGACCCATTGTGTACCTCTGTAATGTTGAGGCACAGTCCCTGGACCTATTGTGTACCTCTGTAATGTTGAGGCACAGTCCCTGGACCCATTATGTACCTCTGTAATGTTGAAGCACAGTCCCTGGACCTATTGTGTACCTCTGTAATGTTGAGGCACAGTCCCTGGACCCATTATGTACCTCTGTAATGTTGAAGCACAGTCCCTGGACCCATTATGTGCCTCTGTAATGTTGAGGCACAGTCCCTGGACCCATTGTGTACCTCTGTAATGTTGAGGCACAGTCCCTGGGCCCATTGTGTACCTCTGTAATGTTGAGGCACAGTCCCTGGACCTATTATGTACCTCTGTAATGTTGAGGTACAGTCCCTGGGCCCATTATGTACCTCTGTAATCTTTATTTTAATATCTTTTTATGCACCCTGCTCACAGGATGGGTATGAGTTACAGATTTCTTCTCTTGCATTTCAAAGTAAGTACAGTACTATACAGTACTGTACTTTACAGTATGGTACTTAAAAGTAGGTTAGTATTTAATATATGTAGTTCAACAAAGAAATGTTTCATTTACCTGTAAAATCATGTCATAGGTAGCTGACACTATCGCCCCTGTTTTAAGGGCTGCTGCGTCAGGCATCTTTTTATCTTATGTATAATTCTGAAATAAAATCAACAGTAGAGTATGGTATGACATAATATGCTCACAATTACCTGCAAACACCAAATTTCATTTATATCAAACCATACTACGGGTGGGGTTAGAACCTGCGATCAGAGACTCGTAAAACTCCAGACCGACGCGTTAGCGACTGGATCAGCTGGCTACAATAAGATTAATCTAACTAGGTACATTTATCCTTCCTATGGTGTATAAATATACTTAGCTGGATGAATCTTATTGTAGCCAGCTGGTCCAGTGGGTAACGCGTCGGTCTGGAGTTTTACGACTCTCTAATCGTGGGTTCTAACCCCACCCATGGTATGATTTGTTTGTAATCATGTCATTACAATTTCATGAGTCGATTCATTTATATTACGTACAATTCACTATTTGACACCTTACAATACCCCTGTCCATTATTTTTGAGCCAATCTGCTAAGATCTCTTACTCATTTCTGCAACACTGTAAGCTCCTGATGATGTGTCGATGGCAACACGAAAGGCCTAGAGCTATCATTCAACTCCCCCTGTGGTTATTTTGCATTATAAAGTACGTGTAAATTACGTCAGATTTTGGTATTTTTTCCTGGTTTGTAATTTACACCTATTTATTTATTTATTTATTTAGTAATTTAAGCATACAAACAGAGGTACAAAAAATACAGGTAAGAGCAGCATGCCAAAGCCACTTATATGCATAGCATTACGGGCTGGCTTAAAATTAACTTAAGATTAACTAAGCAATGATGTAATCAGTGATAAGACATTATTGTAAACAGATAACTATAAAGCACAAATGAGTATTACAAAGACAGGTCATATGGTTGCTTGCATTGTTGTACATTCAGTCGAATGTTACTATGTATGATAATTATAATCACCTAAATTTGTATAACTGTACTTATGTGTACGTGTATATAAATAAACATACTAAGTTATTTACCTACGTTATTTATTTACTTAATTATAGTACTTGAGGAAGATATTGTTGTTGTTGTTGTTAGGGTTTATAGGGCCACCGGCAGCGTACGTCGTATTGAACCCGACCGTCCAGTGTCCGGAGAAGAAACTTCGATGGAAGTGGATTATTATTATTATAATCAAGGGGGAAGCGCTAAACCCGGAGGATTATACAGCGCTTGGGGGGGGGGATGTGGAAGGCATTCAGGCTTAATTCGGGGAACTGGAGCACAGATCCAATTCCCTAAATCAAGAGCCCCTCACCAACATCAAGGAACCTTCCCTGAGAGGATGGAAGTGGAAAGAAGTTAATATTAATAATAATTTTTATTTTGACATGATACATGGTTGTACACAGGAATATAATAGTTGGGTGTACATGCCAAAAGCAGCTTTTGTATGCAGAGCTTTACAGGCAAACTTAAAACTAACTTAATATTAATAAGGCAATAACAGTATAGTTCATGGTATACAGACCATAGCTGACATCAACGACTTATTGCTATATAAGAAGCCGCTTGTTATGCAAAGCATTTCAGGCAAATTAGGTCAGTTTTGTCCCAGGATGCGACCCACACCAGTCCACTAACACCCTGGTACCCATTTTACTGATGGGTGAACACAGACAATCGATGTAAGGAAACACTCCCAATGTTTCTACCCTTGCCGGGAATCGAGCCCGGACTTCACCGTGTGAAGCGAGAGCTTTTGCCACCGGGCCACGGGCCACCGTGGCCTTGTGAATTAAGCACTATACGTGACCCCACAAAACTCATCGCAGAGAAATGCCGCCAACTGAGGAGTTTTCCTGTTCCCGCATGTTCAATTCAGATGGATGGACCTTTCTAGGTCCATCTAAAGGAGGACGAGGGAGAGGAGAGGGAAGAGAGTCAGTACCAGTTCAAGGAGAGGCAGGCCAGAGAACGTTGAGCAGTGGACATCAAGGAAGGATGAACCAAACGTGTTGGAATGGAGGCTGCCATCCACACTTGTACCTGGAGAGGGTTTCGGGGGTCAACGCCCCCACGGCCTGGTCTGTGACCAGGACTCATGGTGGAACAGGGCCTGATCAACCAGGCTGTTACTGTTGGCCGCCCGCAACCCGACATACGAACCACAGCCTGACTGCTCAGGTACTGACTTGAGGTGCCTGTCCAGCGCCTTTTATTTTATTTTATTTTATTTTATTTTATTTAGAAATTTTAGCATACAAACAGAGGTACAAAAAATACAGGTAAGAGCAGCATGCCAAAGCCACTTATATGCATAGCATTACGGGCTGGCTTAAAATTAACTTAAGATTAACTAAGCAATGATGAAATCAGTGATAAGACATTATTGTAAACAGATATTGTAAACAGCCAGGGTCTATTCAAATTCAAATTCAAATTCAAAGTTTATTCTCTATAAGGATTACAATGCTGAGTTTACAGAATTTGGTTATTGCGTGGTTTACATGTAGTAAACATGACTCACGAAATCGTAATGACACGATTGCAAACAAACCCTTATGTATGCTGGGAGGCAGTTGAACAGTCTTGGGTCCTTGACAATTACTGTGTTGTCTCTTATCGTGCTAGTGGCGCCCCGTCTTTTCAATTGCGGGATGTTGCATTGTCTGCCGAGTTTGGTACTAATCTCTCTAGGATTTTCCAAGTGTATATAATATATCTCCCCCGCCTACGTTCTATGGAGTACAGGTTCAGGAACTTCAAGCGTTCCCAGTAATTGAGGTGTTTTATCTCCGTTATGCGCGCCGTGAAGGTTCTCTGTAGTGTCAGTGTATAAACGTAAGTAACCATTCTTACAGAATTCATTACCTTTGTAACTTGTGAGCTCATTACCTTTGTACCTAGTTCAGCTATCAAAACTTTGGGGGCCCAGTCCCTGGACCCATTACGTACCTCTGTAATCTGTAAATACCTTTGTAACTTGCCATGATTGTGACCAGACCTACCTGGAGTTCATTACCTTTGTAAATTGTGAGTTCATTACCTTTGTAAATTGTGAGTTCTTTACCTCTGTAACTTGCTCAGCTATCAAAACTTTGGAGTCCAGTCCCTGGACCAATTATGTACCTCTGTAATCTTTTGACTACCGCCCACAGGATGGGTCTGAGGTGCATAATAAACATATTAAACTAACTAGGTTCTCTGTACATTTTTCTAGGTCAGCAATTTCACCTGCCTCGAAAGGTGCTGTTAGTGTGCAGCAATATTCCAGCCTATATAGAGCAAGCGACCTGAAGAGTGTTATCATGGGCTTGTCATCCCTAGTTTTGAAGATTCTCATTATCCATCCTTTCATTTGTCTAGCAGATGCGATTGATACAATGTTGTGGTCTTTGAAGGTGAGATCCTCTGACGTTATCACTCCCAGATCTTTTACATTAGTTGTTCGCTCTGTTGTGTGGTTGAAATTTATTTTATACTCCGAATAAGTTTTAATTTCCTCACTTTTCTATATCGGAGTAATTTAAATTTCTCATCACTGAACTTCACATTGTTTTCTGAGGCCCAATTTTGTCAAGGCTGAGAACCAAAGCAATCTTAGTACTAGGAGAAGAGAGCACAACATTGTAGTTCCCACAGTCAATGGCAAGAGCACTGTCGTCTGCAATATCACCTCTGCATGACCCTAGTGGGTTTAACGCTTGGTTTTGATTATAATAATGATAATGATGCATACAACAGAAGGTTACACTTGGAAGTGATGGGCAAGTCAGCCACATGAAGAAACAATAATGTTCCCAGAAAAGTTCCTACATTCCTACATCAAGTAGACTCCAGTTTTCTTACAGATTATTCATTTTTTTAATAACCGTTTTCGTTCATGCCTAAGGCCTGGTCTCAGATCGAGCCGCGGGGGCGATGACCCCCGAAACCCTCGCCAAGTAGTGTTCAGAATCTCTTGCCGCCAATTTTGTCAAGGTTGGGAACCAAAGCAATCATAGTACTAGGGGGAGAGAGCACAACTTTGTAGTACCCACAGTAAGTGGCCAGGCTTCAAACACCTTTTATTGTACATCAATAAAGGAATGGAACAGACTGCCAGCACATGTCAAAGCCAGTCATAGCGTGAACAGTTCAAGAAGAGTGCCAAAAGGTGTCTGATGAATGTAGCTACAGAAAGGGAGGAGAAGGATTTTTTTTATATTTTTGGGTAACACACACGTAAATGTAAATAACTCAGTTTACCTTATTCCTAGTATATCTCCTTTATAGTATAACAATAAGAAATTATTCCCTTTAGAGTAAAATAATAAGGTATTAAAAGGACCCCAATGGAAATAAGTCACTGACTCTTTTGGGTTATCCCAGGTTCTGTACACACATGCTGCTATGTATGATAATCTATGTAACTGTATTTGTGTATACCTGAATAAACTTACCTAAGATCTGTTGCCAGTTTCTTGTCAGCTTTGATGGGCTCATTCATTAATTATGCTCAAAGTCGTCTATCACGTACAGTGTTTATCTAGTTTATAATAATATAATAATAATAATAATAATAATAATAATAATAATAATAATAATAATAATAATAATAGCAATAATAATAATAATAATAATAATAATAATAATAATAATAATAATAATAATAATAACAATAATTCAATTCAATTCAATTCAAAGTTTATTCTCTATAAGGATTACAATGCTGAGTTTACAGAAATTTGGTTATTGTTTGGTTTACATGTAGTAAAATTGTGATTACAGAGTGTACCACTAGAACGCTTAGCATGGCTAGGCATTTCGGGCATACTTAGTTTTATTCTTAATTGTAAAATGTTACAAATTATGAGGTAAGTTGGTATTATGGCTAAGTGACTAAATACTAGTTTATGAGTTTAGCAATGTGAATGCTTTTGTTTTGGCACAGTATATAGTTTCAGTATTGGAGTATCACAGGATTCATTATTTTAAGACTGAGATTAATATTTCTGTTTATGGTCAAATGAGTGAGCGAGTGTAAGTGTGAACCACCAGGTAGTATTCGTGTAGTTAGTTGACGGGGTGTATCAGGGAGATAAGATGTTTTCTAATGGTAGTTTTGAAGGTGATGAATGTGTCTGCAGTTCTAGAGTTCTCAGGTAGGGTATTCCAGATTTTAGGGCCTTTGACATACATTGAATTTTTGTAAAGGTTTAGCCGGACACGGGGAATGTCGTAGAGATGTTTGTGTCTGGTGTTATGCCTGTGGGTTCTGTCACAACTATCAAGAAAGCGTTTTAGGTCAAGGTTGATATTAGAGTTTAAGGCCCTGTAGATATAGATTGCACAGTAGTAAGTGTGGATGTACTGAACTGGGAGTAAGTTTAGATCTTTGAAGAGTGGGGGGGGGTGTGCTGCCAGGGATGGGATTTAGTGATTATTCTTACTGCAGCTTTTTGTTGGGTTATTATTGGCTTTAGGTGTGTTGCTGCAGTTGATCCCAAGCACAAATAGCATAGGTGAGGTATGGATAAATAAGTGAGCGGTATAGTGTGAGAAGGGCATTTTGCGGCACATAGTATCGTATCTTGGAGAGGATCCCAACCGTTTTGGATACTTTTTTGGCTATATGCTGGATATGGGTGCTGAAATTCAGGTTGTTGTCAAGGTATAAGCCTAGGAATTTTCCCCCATTATTTCTGGTAATTAGAGTGTTGTCAATCTTAATGTTAATTTGTGCATCTCCTGCTCTGCTACCAAACATAATATAGTAAGTTTTGTCAGTGTTAAGCGTAAGTTTATTGGCTGTCATCCAAGTCGATATTTTAATCAGCTCCTCATTCACAATGGTGTTGAGGGTGGCAAGATTAGGGTGAGAGATGACATAAGTCGTGTCGTCAGCAAAGAGAATGGGTTTCAGGTGTTGGGATACGTTTGGAAGGTCATTGATGTATATGAGGAAGAGCAGGGGACCAAGGACACTTTCCTGCGGAACTCCAGTATCAAGTGGCCGTGTTGCTGATGCTGTGTCTTTAATGGTGACGTACTGATACCTATTAGTAATGTAAGATTTGAAATAAGCAAGCGCATGGCCTCTTATACCGTAGTGGTCAAGTTTGTGGAGTAGGATTTGGTGGTTTACTGTGTCAA